CTTTTCTGACTTCAATCGCAAAGGAAGTTTTTTTAGAGTTTTTTTGTTAGCTTCGTGTCCTTTGACTTAAGTTAATCGCATAGATACACTCATAAGGAGCAAGTTTTTGTGTACTTAAGCAACCACTTAAGAAGTCGTTAAATAATCAATGAATAAAGATTTTCACGCAAAACCATATATTTGTTTGAAATTTCGAGTCCCACTACTTTTGTTTTTTTTTTTTTATTGAAATATTTTACTTTGATTTGTATTTGGAGGCGGGGATTGAAGTAATAATAGCTTATCTTTACTGTATTATTTTGCCTACTGCTTATCAGAGTGGTACTTAATTATTTATACATTATGTATTAATTTTTTATGTGAATTTAAATCCATTTTCTTTGACAACTTTAGCCTAAACAGCATTTAGAGCTTTCAAATGACATTTGATTTTATAAATTATAATTTAATTAAACCAACAAGTATTTTTTCAATAAAAATGCTCTGATCACTTTAGGGTGTGCGTTAGATTGTATCTATCTAAGTGGTTAGATTCTATAAATAGCTTGTATCTACTGAAATTGTGCAACTGCAACTATCACAAAACTATTAAATGTGGAGTTTTATGTTGATAATCAGGCAACAGTTCCTATGATGTCACTTCTGTGATTATTAAATCATTTGTCGCATTTATGATGAATATGAATGAATAACAATAATTTAGCAACAAAATAATAATAATAACCTCACGAATACTATAATTCTTGATATGTTATATAGTAAGCGTTTTTGATGGCTCGCAAGTGTGGCAAAAAATGCATGATGGCCCATATTCGCTAAGAGAGACATTGGCATTACTGTTACAATCTGTCCAACGTTATGTTTTGGAAAATAGCAAGTCTTTCATATGTGCACATAATGGAAGCAAATTACATTTTGTGTTAAAATAAATAATTAATATAACTTGAAAATTAAAATGTATACAGAAATTAATTTTATCACAAGACTTTTTAATGTCATTATTAAATTTGTCTTTTACTCAACAGAGTCGAACGCTGCCATTATGATTATGATTATAATTATGATTTGTACATCAGGTAAAGATGCCACGCTTGCCGCTTCATATAGGCCAATAAACATACTGTCGTGTCTTTCTAAACTCTTTGAAAGAGCACTGATACCATTCCTTGACGATCAAAACCTAAAACCCTCCCAACAGTTTGGTTTTAGGGATCACTATCGAATAAGTGAAGCCTTTAAAGTTAAATGTAAATCATATATGTACTTCTAATAATTTTCCAATAGAAGCTGGCATTCCACAAGGAAGATCTTTATGCCCTATCTTTTATGTACTTTACATATCTGATATCCCAATAAGTAGTTCAGCTGTCAGCACAACGTTTGCCGATGACACGGCAATTTTATGCCGAAACAAAACCGATGTGCTAGCTTCAAACCAACTTCAATCTCGCTTATTTTGCGTGGAGAAATGGTTGTCAAAATGGCGGATTAAAATTAATGAACTAAAATGTACATACGTCATTTTTACCTTAAATCGGCGTACATTTCAAACAAATTTACTAAATAACACTTCCACACCACAAGCAGATAACATTACGTACTTAGGTATTCATCTAGACAGATGACTACCTTGGCGCAATCATATTGAAATCAAAAAAATTCAGATGAAGCTTCAAGTCTCTAAGTTGCAACAAATCACTTGATAAAGTCACTAAGTAACATATTGACATCACTGTTGTGATCTGTCAAATGTCAAGTTTTCGCAAAGAGTAAGTCTTGCACATGAGTACAAAATGCAAGTAAACTACATTTTATATAAAAATAAATTATTAATATAGAAATGATATATAAAATGAAGCTATGTTTAGAATGCAGAAAATTTTGAAATTTCCTTTCACGACAAAATTTGTAGATTATTTTTATCTAAGTAAGTATTAACTTGTAAGGAACTAATAAATTGGCTGTCTTACGTAGTAAAAGAAAGCTCATTGAGAAAGGCACAATCAAAGTAATAATCAGTGAACAAAAACAAACAGTAAAGAACCAAACATATTGCACGGTTTTGTATTTTTATTAAAAAACTCTAAACGAACATTACACTAAATTACTAAAATCCAATACAAATCAAAAAAACTTTTCAAAAAATACACTAAAAATGCAACTAAAATTTTAGTGTGCTGTTTCCGACATCTTCTGTAAAATTTATGTTCGCAATGTGTTCTTTTTCCGAACGTAGTGATCTTTTTAATGATCTTTTCACGAAGGTAGTCAACTTTTTAGCGATATTTTCCCGAAGGTAGTGTATTTTTAGTGTTCTTTCAGTGTCCGTCGAAAAAAACAATTGAAAACGTATTTGAAGAGTATTGCCTGCATTTGTATTGCATGTATTTTCTGTTTTTAAATAAATATAATAGATCTGTTCCATGAACTATTCGTAGTAAAACCCAAGTAAAACACAAGTAAAATTTACACGAAAATACACGAAAAATTGCTGGTGGAACGCACTTGTGTATATATAGAGTTACTGAAAGCTACTACGAGTAGCTCGTGGGACACACCTACCATATTATGTATGCTTTTATTGATGCATATTTAATATTAGGGGATGTATTACACAGATATATGTTATTATGGATGGGTCATTTGTATAATATATAATGCTAATAAAAGGCAAAAAAAAACTTTTTTTTTATATATTTTATAAGTTTTTTTTATAACAGAAAAAGTAAAAAAAAAAATTATAAAATTTCGGTACACGATATATAGCATTTAGATTATTACCTAGGAATATATAGATTTTCTTGTATGTTAACAATACATATCAGTTAATATGTTATTATTCTACAACCATTTACGCGGACCCTCAGTTACAACAGAAAACACCAAGCTTTTTAAATTAATTCTTCATAGAATATATATCGGTTACATATAATTTTGAAGTGAAATATTTAAATTTCGTAATAATTTTAACTCATCTAGAAAGGTTTCAGAGAAATAAGCTATTAAAAATTATCAATTTCTAATTTGCATACATTTTCGACGTTTTTTCATAAAAAACTATAAAACTTAATATTTTAAAATTTATTCATACACTTAAAATTTATACGAAAATAGTTTGATATTTCTATTTGAAAATAGAAATATGTTGATATAATGTAAAACGGGTATGGGACAGAGGTCTGAAAGTAAGTCTTACAGTTCTTGCGAATCGTGAATTTTATCATTTAAAAAAAATCTTAAGATAAGACAGTCTTAAGTCCTAAATTAAATAATTAAGTTTTAAGTATTATTACTATCTTTTATTAAACTTATTTAGCTTTGGTCTAAAATGTCCTTAAACATCTTCGTTTCCACTGAGGTACTCGAAAATAGTGTAACCAAAAAAAGCTGTCCAAGGCCATCCCTATTGTGCAAAATTTAATGTGAATCCCGTCATTGAGTGTCAGCTGGCGCGTCTATATCTCAAGTAAAGGATATTGACTAGCAATAATTAAGACTAAATTAGTTTTACCTAGCGAACTCACTCAGAGCTCAGTACATTTGATAATTGGTACAAATAGTAGGAATTTACTTGAATATTAATATTCGACGTTAATGTAGGAGAAATATTTTATAATTGTTACAAATATTGAATATAATATTGTAACCAAACTGTTCGGATTAAACTCTGATGAAGAAATGTTTAATTACTGCTAGTAAATAATTAATCGGTTAGAGTTTGTATTTCATCTTTCAAACTAAGATACCTTTTCTTTTTGACTTTACTATCAGCACGAGCTTATATTAATTCGCGTTGCATTCGTAACATAAGTTCCTGAAATTCGGCTACAGTATTCTATCTTTATATATATAATTCTTCTAAACGTGTGTTGACAGTAAACTCCTCCTAAACGGCTTAACCGATTTTGATGAAATAGTTTGTGTGTGTTCAAGTGGATTCAATGATGGTTTAGATTCACAATTTGGTCCACTGGATAATGTTTTTTTAATTCTTATACAGTTTTTTGGTATCCATATACAAACATATATTTATATTAGACCTTTAAAAGTTATTCATGCTTACTTTGATTTGTTTAAAAAGTTTAAACTCTAAAATGAATCGTTCAGCTATCCTGTTGAATTTTTGAATTCGCTGGAATACCAGGAATACCAACACATAACTTAAGATTAAGAATTCGCTCACCTATAATCATGCAGCGGAATTTAATTGCACCCAAGCTATGGAACGGCATGAGATTAGTCATAAAAAAAAATTTGTGCAATGTACTTGAAGCTACAATTTTGAATGGCAAATTTGAAGGTGAAGCTGCTCTCCTGCCACGAATCCCAATGATCCCTTCACAATCACCCATTCCATTTAGACGTCTGCAATATCCAATTCGTTTGGCATTTGCCATGACTATTAATAAGTCACAAGGTTAAACAATGTCGATTTGTGGGATAGATCTTCATTATTTGTCTTTCATTTCTTACTTTGTTTTTGTATCCTAATCGCTTAGTATATCATGCAGGACATCTGTGGGTCCGCTAGTAAATTTATAAATTCAAGTTCGCTATTTCTATGTTGAGACTAGTTGAGTTGAGTCACTGCACCTGAGCACTTTTATTCTCTATTAACTGCGAGGTTTCTACAAAACCCCTCTTTGTGCCTTGACTGGATTATTGTTTATCACTTCATTAGACTAAGCAATAATTGACCTCAGATCTGCATATCTCCCCGAGGAGCCTGTAACTATTCTGAGATTTGATAAAGCGGTTTTAGTAAGTATGTCAGATTTCGCAAATAATTTCAGGGCTCTATCCTTTATGTATTTTTTGATGGGATCAATCTTGAGGTCCCTGAGGATGTCATTCGTCCTAATGTACCAAGGAACTTTGAAAAGTCTTCTCAGAGCTATTTCTATTTAATAGGATATATTTGATATAATTGTCAATATTATACTAAGTTTTAAAAAAAAATTTTAATTTCCTAAATAAATATTAATAACATATTTAATAAAATGAGATATCTCATTTTTTTTGTGACATTATCTCTGTGTGTTAATCATATTCGTGGGTATAAGGATGATGATGATGAAGATTTTTCGCATCTAGTTGTAGGAGGTTACCGAATACAAGATAATTATTTCACAAAATTTATGGTTTCTATCAGAACAGGAAAGCCTATAGTAGCATACGGCGATAATCATATGTGCGGTGGTGCTATCATATCAAAACGTTGTGTTGTGACAGCTGCACATTGTCTAGTCCATGCGTAAGTTAATAAAGCAAATAAAATAAAAATGTATACATAAATTAACAAATTTTAACTCAGCATGACAACTATAAAAATTCCAGTTGGTGATATGTATGTAGTTGCTGGATCAAAATACCGCTTAAATGTCACGACTTCTACACAAACCTTGTATGTAAAAAAATCTTTTGTGCATCCATCATATTCAACAATTGAGACAGTTGCAGACGTAGGTCTCCTGCATTTAGAAGGTCAATTTATATTGGATGACAAAACTGTTGCGGCAATAACAATAGCAAGAGAAACACCTAAAGCCAACACAAAATGCATCACTGGAGGATGGGGATCTGCTTATTTCGTAAACAAGCTATTACAATTTATAATTATGATGAATTATAATCTGATGAATCCTACTTTCAGCTTGGTCCATCTCCAGATAATATTTTATATGTTAATTTACAAACCATAACTAGAACTGCTTGTAAGATTTTTATCACTGAATTTGAAGAAGGTATGATATGTGCGGTAAGTCTTGAAGTACCTGAAATGGATACGTGCCAAGGTGATTCAGGAGGTCCTCTTATATGCGATAAGTTTTTAAGTGGAATAGTTTCCTTCGGCTACGAATGTGGTGTAGGATATCCAGGCGTTTATGCAGATGTGGCATTTTACAGAGACTGGGTTCTTCAAAATCATGCAATTATGCACACGAATAAATTAAGTATACTCGTTGAATTACTTTTGATTATATTTTTGCAATGTTTTTACTATGAAGTGAGGTTTGGTAAAAATCAATATAATACAATTCCATTACAAATAATAATAGAGTTACTGTATAAGCAATAACTATATTTTGTCAATTACTTTTTATTATATATAATAATTAGGTCAATTGCTTTTATGACCTAGTTATACATTTGTAAGGAGTTACATGGCAAATAATCAAGTCAAAAATAATTTGTGTTTCCTTCAGCTGTGATCAAATATGAAATGAATTTAAGTTTGCCAAAACATATAGTATATATGAGCATATAGTATAATATAACAAATATAGTATAGTATAGTAATTTACAGAAGATCTTTTTAAAGGGTCTTCAATCTTCAATTACCTATATTATACTTATACATATATGTAGGTAAATCATGGACATGATTATATCTGCTAAATACTAGGCTGTAAATATCAAAGAAAATGAGCGAACAAATCAAACTAGTGGTTTTGTTTCAAAAACCCATAATGTCACAGAACAGAGCTTAGCCTGACAACATTCCATTAAAAAAACACAGAAAATATCATCTTTCGGGTAGGTCATGTGAAGAACAATTACAGACTAATCTTTGGAAAATACACGGGGGGAAAATGAGGCAAATTTTAAAATGAATACAGATTTTATTTTATTGTATTTTATATATTATATTTTATATTATTTATTTTATATTGTTTTATATATTTATGTAAATATTCATAGATTATTAAAGTAACACATCAGTCAATAATACGGGAGACCAACTAAGAAAAATAAATTTTTTCTGCCAAAAATCGATTTTACTCATCAATACAATCTCTTTCAAGAGCAATACAATCATTCCAATGCTTCTCTTACTTCTCGATACCGTGCTTGTAGAAGGATTTGTCTTTTACCTCAAAATAGGCTTTAGTAGCAGCAATTACTTCTTCATTTCAGATAAATTTTTTACCGGAAAGCATTTTTTTGAGATCACCGAATAGCCAGTAGACGCTGGGGGCCAGATCTGGACTATACGGTGGATGAGGAAGCAATTCGAAGTGTAATTCGTGCAATTTTGCCATCGTTTTTATTGACTTGTGACATTGCATTGATGAAACAAAATTTTTTTCTTCGCCATATGCGATCGGTTTTTCACAATTTCTGCTATCAAACGATCCAGTAATGCCGTGTTGTAGTTACTATTGATGGTTTCTCTCTTTTCGAGATAGGTGCATCCCGAAATACTGAAGCCATAACCTTCCCAGCTGACTGTTGTGCCTTTGGACGCTTCGGACGTGGTTTAACGGCTGCAATCCACTCAGATGATGATCGTTTTGATTCCGGAGTGAAGTGATGGATCCATGTTTCATCCATATCGACGCAAAAAAACTGATTTATTACGTGTAAACATGGTTAAACACTGCTCTAAATCATCAACACGTTGATGTTTTTGATCGACTGTGAGTAAACGCGGCACCCACTTTAAAAAGACCTTTCTCATGGTCAAATGTTCATGCATAAATTTAAACACACTGCCTTTTGATATCTTCACTGTCTCATCTATCTCATGCAATTTCAATTTACGATCAGATATAACCAATTTCTGAACTTTTTTGAAATTTTCTGGAGTAACCACCTCAATTGGACGACCAGAACGTTGACTATCATCGGTGCCTGTACGACCACGTTTAAATTAAGCAAATCAATAACAAATGGTTTTTTTTTCGATGGAGCAGAGTCCCGATAACACTTTTGAAGTCATTGCTGCTCTTGTACAGCATTTTTTTATCAAGAAGCAATGATAAATTAACACACGAAATTGTTTTCAATCCATTGTTTTGAAAATAACAAAAGTAGCTTCACTTAAACGGCTGTCACTTTTTCCTGACTAATCGAAATGTCATGAAATTTTACACATAGTCTTTTGAAGATTGATGCTTCATAAAAGTCATATAGATTTCACAGTGGCAGCGCCATCTGTGTGTCAGTCGTACGACTTATGACTGATGTATTACTATTCATAATACTATTCATAGCTCGTTCTTTAGCTTGGTACACAAAACTATCTTAGAAATTAGTGGTTATTTTTGACGACATCATCGGAGGTAATACCATATATTTAGAGAAATGTAAACGATAATAGATTAAAAAAACTTTATACTTATCATACGTATTATTAAATATTAAAATAACTTTAAAATTGAAGCGATTTGTAAGATGACTGATGATCGAATTAGATCTTTAATGAAGTAAGGAAGCATATTTTAGGGTAAGAACATAGAAAACACTTCCTTACGATGATTTGGTTACTGAAAAAAATCGAGGTTAATAAAAGCATTAAAACCACTTACACTAAACGCCAGGAAAGTTTGTCAAAAGCGTCAGTAAGTTCAACCAAGTATACAATTATCGACTCTAACAAAAACACTTTTGTACTTTCATCCACTTTTGGTGGGGCTGATAACTTCTTAAGCGGTTATCAAACTTTGATTACAAGGATAATATATTAAAGCTTGTCGGCAATTGCAGAACACAAGCATTTATTATATTTTCACCCTATAATAAATGATAATTATGATTACTTAAATAGCGTTAAAGTTAACACAGGCATGGTTGACGAACAATGTTATAGGTGTAATGATATTACTATTATTAGCTACAGCAATGAGGGTCATAAACTAAAGGACTAAATTTGTCAAATTTAAAGAAAAAAACGCTCTTCAAAATAGAAAATGAAATCTCAAAAAACAAAAAAGAGAAATACTGTGGTGGAAATGTCATCTAACCAGACTTTTTTTTGCTGTCTCCCAGTATTAATTCGCTAGTAAATAAATTGTGAGTGGGATTCTAATTTCTAAGAAGTAAATTATGAAGATGCTGCCCGAAACATCTTAGTGTCAAGGTATCCATGTGAAAAGGACACTAAAAAGCTTAGTGATCTGGCTAAAAAACCAGAGTTTTTTAATTTTAAACCAGATTTAGATAGGCTATTCAATCTAACAATAATACTGATGTATATCGATTGTCTTACTATACTGGTACTTTATTTTAGTGATTAATTTCCAATTACAAAATGTAAGTTCCATGGCGTTCCTCTCAGATACTTTGTCAAAAAAGCCATTTGACAATATTGTATAATTGAATGAGTTTTGGATTGTATTAGGGAAACTTTCAAATTTCAGATCTATACCCTTTCATTTCACCTTTCATTTATTACTTACTGTAATCACAAGTTTTTCTATAAGAATCAAAAATAAATATGAATGCGAACATTTATATTTAAACAAATCATATTTAAATGTAAAAATTGAAAATAATTAATTGTCTGGCAGTAACTAAAATATATTTCGATTCAATTGCAACTTGTCTTGACTAGAAATTTCTTAATCATACATTCTATAAATGTTTTCTGTTTCAGAAATTGATTCTAGCTTCTATGATGGATTTAGTGCTTACTTGAAGATCGTTTAATTTGCAACACTTTAAGCAAACACTTAAAGCAAACACATTTAAATTTGAAAGATAAACCAATTATGAAATATTTGTAATTATTTGACTTTTTTTTAGCAATGTTTATAAGTGAAACGATGAAAATAAAACAGAAAAAGTATCCTACAAAAGCACTATTTTAAACAACGGAACACCAAAAAAATTGCTTAAGCTTAAGAACTAAATATACTTTTATTTAAAATAGAGGACTTATAAACAATGAAGACAATGTATGCTTGAGTACCACATGGTAGTGTACTTGATCCCGGTTTATATCTACCTTTGAGATGATAACTACATATGTCGACAACACATCCCTATAATCCACGTACATTATTATTGAAACGGCTTGAAATAACCCACGAATTAGATTACTCTAATCTAATAGATTACAGAATTACTTATAAAAGTAAATGCAGAAAAACCAATAAATCTCACAGAAATAGAATGTACCCAGAAAGGCCATAAAAACCATAAAAAGGCCATGAAAGGCAACTATAGTGTCGTAACCCATTTCGTTCCAGAACAATTTAAACATGGAGTTTTTTTGAATAAAAAGTCTTATTTTATGCTAAAAACAACTTTTACAATTGGACCCACAATATGTTTTGGATTTTAGAGTGTTAAGATTGCACATGGATAAAGTTCAAAATTAATACAAAACTCAGCCTTTTAACCCAGCCAGCATTTGAACAAATATCCCACAAGGGAAATTACCAAAATTTTAAATATGTTTCACAGGATTTCTATGTAAAATATAAACAAACAACAACTGAGCTGTTAACAAAGACACTAATGAAATAAGTATTTAATAAATTTTTTGTTTTATTAAGTATATAAGTGATATATAAAATGTTTATAAATTATTTAATTAAATGATTTATTGTGATTCATAAATGATTTATTGTGTGATATATGTTAAGCGCAGCTTATAAGAGTTTTATCAGCTGCATAAATGAGCTCAATATAATGTGAACGATTCTTCATCAATATAAATGTGCCTAAATGAGACTGTTTGAATTTATTATTACTTACAAATAATGTAACAAAAATCAGATCATGTAGAACCTTTAATCCTTAATAATAAATTTCCAAGAAAAATTACAAAAATTGTACAAGGATGCAATTAACAACAACAAAATACACGCACAAATTTTCGTGCAATTGCTTGCAATCTTCCAATACTAAAACCTATGTATATTTGCTTGCAAGGAAACAAAAATGGCAGAAATCAGCTGTTTTGACATTTGTTGCTTCTTATTTTTAAATTTGAGTTTGGTAGCGAAAAGTAGGTTTGTTAAAATATTATACAAATTATGGTTATTTAAAATTTTTTAATTATTTTCAGATAAAAATGGAAGACGAAGCACCAGCAACTAAAAAGAAAAGGTTGCAGCCGCACAAGAAGTGGACGGAGTTGGAAATGCTCCAAATAATTGAATTTCTCCAGGAGGAAGCAGAATTTATATGTTATATATCTTATTATGTCAGAATATGTTATAAGTCAGAATAATAAAAGAACTATTTTTAATTAAAATATCTATACATTTTTGTGTTTCACTTGTACACGGCATTGTTATACTTTTATTTATTCTTTGCTCAATGTGATATGGTTGCAAAAACAGCTGATTCATTTCGATGATGCAATTCTGCAACAGAGGCGTTCTCGCAGTCTTGCAGTTTTTGTATAGCATTCTTGCAATTCGTGCACCTTGCAATGAATTTTCAAGAGAGAGTGAATACCTCTTATGTGTTATATACTCTTGGAAGAATAAATTTGCTTCACTCTACCAATATATTTATTTTTTATTATTTGATGTTGCTAGATGTAGCAAGAATTTCTAAAATTTTTGACAGCTAAAATTACAAGCAAAACTCTCGTGTGAATCCAGTTTTAAATTAAAACACGAAGTAATAATATAAAAATAGGTGTAACAAGATATCTATATGCGTCGTTGAACATGCATCATTGCAAACCTAAATAATCGTGAATAAATTTTGTGGATATTAGTCTTACATACATTTAGAACAGCTGATTTTTGTTTTTGTTTTGGTGAAAAGTAGAATATATTGAATTTAGATTTGTGCGTTTATTTGTACAATATACCACTTTCTTATATGTAAAACGGATGCAAAATTACAGAATTGTGAACAAAACTTGATAAAGTATTACCCAGCAAACAGTAAAAAAAGTAGTATAATTCACAATAAAGTCTTGAAAATCACATACATATGCAAGTGATAATTGGTGTTGACAATATGTTCTTGCATATTACCTTGGAAATCAATTGCAGAATCATAAGAAAAGGAATTGTTTTTGTAAAATCCAATAATTTTGTAAAATGCAACGATGCAAAGAGATCTTGAATAACATTAATATTTTTTTATTTAATATTGCCGACGCACAGTGTATGAAAAAAAGTAGACAATCAAAATCAAAAAGTATTTTCTGGACTCTTACTATATCATTACTCTTATTATATTATTACTCTTAGGGTCATGTTATGCAGAGTGTGTCGGGCACGGCATGAGTATAATTGTTGTTGTTTTCCATCGCAAATTTTAAGTTTGAGAATGAGAGAAAAAACAATATGCCGTTCAAACTCCGGCCTGAGCACGGTTGCCACTTGAAAATTTTTTCCTGTACCAAAATTGGTTTAAAAAGGTACCATTTCTGTAAAAAAAGGTCTAAAATTTTTTTGGATCTTTTTGTTTTTTCGTTCTGTGTTTTTCATAGTGTTACAAATGAACAAAATTTAAAATAGTGCAAAGTTGCATTTATAAAAAAAATTAATTGAAAATATCCACAATAAAGTTGGGTCGTCAAAAATGTACCATTTTGTGAACATGAGTACCAAATAAAAAAAAAAGTACCAATTTTGGTACTAAAGTACCATAAGTAGCAACCGTGGGCATGAGAGCCGGCGTATTTGTGCCCCGGCACTAAGGTAAAACAGTGTTGTTTAGTAATAAATTTTAAAATTTGCACCTTTTAGGAGCAAATTACTACAATTCTAATACGTTTTGGAGAAAAAATGGCAACAAGCAACACAGCTTTTTTTTATAAATCGCTAATAATATAATTACTACACTTTCCGATTTCAAAGAAAGGCGTAAATACTGTTAAGTACTGCTAACAATTATTATAAGATAATATGTATAATAATAAATTTACATTATTACAGCCTCTATGAGTTTTTTCGTGTTAGTTATTTTTGGTGGCAAATTGAAAGTGAGCATATCTAAATTTCCTTTTAAATTTAGGCACAACCAAAAAGTATCAAAACATTGTAAAAATACGAAATTGGCAATATTGATGTGACATGCATTTTCGGCATAGCCCGAAAGAGCGTAATTTGCCGCGCCCGAGACACTCTGCATAACATGGCCCTTACTATATCACTTAGATCCAGAAGTATTTATTTTAAGATGTTTTATAGTTTTATGATATATACATGCATATAAAATTTTATTTGGAATTTTATGAAATTTTGAAGAATTTCATTTTGTAGTATTTGACAATACTCAGAAGAGCTGTATGGTCAGTCAAGAATTGGATTATTTTCATAATATGAAAAAGAAGCTTTTATTGTTGTGTTCACTAGTTTTCGAAACCTCTTTAACAAAAATATAATAGTTTCTATTGAGTAAATATTCACTATCGCTACAACTGACGTTAAATTACAATTTCTTAAAGATAAATATTTTTAATGCAACTGTCAAATAATTTGTTAACTTTTAACAAACAATTTTATTTTTCAGTATTTGTTACGATGAAATATTTCATGACAATTATTACTATACTCTTTTTTAATCCTATTCATGGACAATACAATTATGATGATGAAGAGTTTACACATCTGATTGTCGGTGGTTATCGCATTAAGGATAGTACATTATCAAAATTTATAGTTTCTGTCAGATCAGGGGAGTTCACAATATCTGATGGTGACAATGATATATGCGGAGGCGCTGTTATATCCAGGAAGAGTGTCATCACAGCCGCCCATTGTCTAGTAGACGTGTAAGTTTAATAAAATAACTAAGACATATATATTAAAATATTTATAACTTAGAAAAACCAATATAAAAACTCCAGTTGATAAGATGTATGTAGTTGCTGGGTCAAAACAACGCTTGAAGTCTACAAAAGCAACGCAAAAAATATATGTAAAATCATCAATTGTCCATCCAATGTATTCATCAACTGGTCATATTGCAGATATAGGTATTCTGCGTATGATGAAGAGTTTTGTATTTGATGGTACAACTGTGGCGCCAATACCTCTAGCGAAAGTTACACCGTACCCTTACACTCAATGTACCACGGGTGGATGGGGTTCTGTTTATTATGTAAGCAAATCATCTCATACGCAAATCTCGTAATTACATCTAATGTACACATTTTGCTTTTAGCATGGTCCAAGTCCAGACCTCATTTTGTTCGCTGACCTGCAAATATTAAGTCAGAGTGCTTGTCGATCACTTATACCCCATTATGAGTTTGGTATGATATGTGCGAAAAATTTTAAAGCTCCTGAAATGGATGCTTGTCAGGGAGATTCAGGGGGTCCACTTATCTGCGGATACCGTTTATGTGGAGTCGTTTCCTTTGGCTACGATTGCGGTGATAGTTTCCCGAGCGTCTACACTGACATTGCTCACTACCGAGAGTGGATTATAGAAAATTCTGCAACAATGCCAAACTATTATTTATGTAAACTCGAATTCATTCCACTATTATTAGGTATATTGGTGCAAAATTTTTACGATTGAGTAAAGGTTTGAACGAAGTGCAAACATAATTATTAATTACTACTGCAATAATATATTTGCAAGTATATTAATTATACCATCTTAACATCGTAAGGTGGTGACTTTGACATATATTATATTTAATAAAAATCAAGTAATTGAGTTTGATATATTTTTATTGAAATGTCCATTTTCTTTTTAATAAAATATTAAGACAGAGCGACAAATAAAATGTAGAAAAACCGACTAATGCAAGTCGATTAACTTAAATGAAGAGACCATAATTAAATAATACTTTACTTTATTGTAAAGTATTATTTAGACTTATTATTTAAAAACTTTATTGTAACATTATAACATCAAGTAAATACATCCTATCTTATAGAAGAGTCCTATAGTCGTATTTACGGTGGTTGTTACTTTAAGGGTAAAAAAATACTTATTGATACGAAGCACATCGATTAGATACGAAGAAAATTTAAGTTAATGACGACATTGTGCTTAATCGACGTTCACATGGGAGGTTGGTTTAATTGGCAGTCAACAGGCAAATAGAAAAAATTCTAAAAGAAAATTTTATAATATCACAAGAGTAAAGCACTTTTAAAAAATAATTACCATATGGTTTAAAATTATTATTAAAATTTTATTCAATTTTGAACTAAATAATTCCAGCTCAAGGAATTGAAAACGTTATGATTTGAAGCAACACATAAGCAGATGCATTTCTTCCTATCTGCAAACCAAATAGTTCCAAATATATTCCATATATTATTTTTAACTTATATTTATTTATTATAAGTCGTTTTAGCGGTTCTTTGTTTAAAACTCATTTTAGTATATACTCAGCATTTAGGTTTCTTTTAGCAATTTTGGTGTTATGTGCCATCGAAGTAAGATACTTTTTTGTCAGTCAGAATCATTTGTTCACCCATTTATAACTGTTTTTACTTCATAATACTTCTAAACTTTACTTCATCTTAATATATAACGACAGCAGATGATATTAAGAGGCACATTTATTTCGGCAGACATTAATGGAAGTACAGTTCTTGATTGACTCCCAACAAACTACAACTTAAACATAGAATAGATGTATATTTATGTTTATGTTTGAATATATATAAAATAAATTATTGCAAATATATTTTAAAGCAAATTTACATATACTTAAATATTACTTGAAAATACTAAATATTCAAAAAAAATTTTATTGTGTATTGAATTATTAGTAGTATTAAAAATAAAAAATATAACGCAATTGTTCTACAGCTGGTTTACGATTTTGTTCTAATATAAATCATAGCAAGTGAATTTGTTAATAAACTTTCACAGCAAATTAAAAAAAACTCAGAAAAAAATTTTAAGTATGGCTTTGGGTCAGTTGGCTCATGAACACTGACTCTGAGCTTCAAATTTGACAGAGCACGAGTACAATCCCTGGTACTTGCAGTCTTAAAAAATTATTTACAAATAAATAGAAGATGCAATACAAATAAGTATTTGACAATACTCGAAACAGCTGTATGGACAGCCAAAAATTCAATTAATTAGAATAATATGAAAAGAATTTATGTTGTTATAGTACACTACTTTTCGAAATCTCTCTATTAAATACCATAGTTTCTATTAAAGTAAAAATAGTCACTTCTGTCTTATTGACATTAAAATCAAGTTTAAAAATATATATGAATGAGTGTATGAATGAGATGGTATCTTTGAAAAAATTTACTATTTTTTTTAACCTTAAGCTTCTTTGTATCTAATGCATTGTTCAAAAATAAAGTAAACAAAGTATTTAGTTGGAAGAATTGCAAAAATTAATTGAACTACGGTTCATTACATTTTGTCTTTTTGTTAGGAATATTCATATTAACTGAAGCTAAAGATAATGAGATATTCCAAAGAATTTAACTAAGCTTAAACCACAGTATATGTCCATACTATTCATAATCAAAAGTTATGTGCAAGAATCAGTATTTGTGAGAACGTGGTTGACATTTAATATGTAGGTTTATGTCGTGTATATATACAAATTTTAATTAATATAACATCATAGTACATGTATAGTACATAAATGTGTTGAATAGATATACGTCATCATATATACGAATATGTACTTCTAATACAGGAGCCATTAAAAAATTTGAAGAAAAATCAGAAACTTCAAATTTACAGAACATAGAAATTTGACTTAATTATCAAATAATTTATATAGTTTTCGTTAAAATTTAATATAATTCTCTATGTTGGGGATGCAGAAAGTTCGGGAAATTTACAATCAGAAGAATTTTTTTATATTTTCTATTATTTTAATTTTATTTTTCCATAATATTCGTGGAAATACGGACAATAATGACGAAGACTTTAACCAACTAATTGTAGGAGGTTACAGAAACGATGACAGTTTATTAACAAAGTTTATAGTTTCTATCAGAATTGGAACTTACCAAATCGCTTACGGTGATAATGATATATGTGGTGGAGCTATCATATCAAAACGCACTATTTTAACTGCTGCACATTGTATAGTGTTCATGTAAGTTTATTCACAAAAGTATAAAAGAAATGCATTCATAATAAAAAAAGTATGATTTAGCAATTCAACTGAAAAAATCCCAATCTCTGAATTATCCGTAATTGCTGGATCAAGATTTCGCTTAAGAGCCACAACCACAACTCAAAAGATGGCGGTAAGTAAATCATATGTGCACCCACAATATGACCCAAATATTTCAAAGGCAGATATAGGTATCTTGCAATTGCAAGACAGTCTTATATTTGATGGTAGGACTGTAATGTCAATATCTATAGCAAAAGAAAAGCCTGGACTTAACATTAAATGCACCATAGGAGGTTGGGGATCTATATATTATGTAAGCAAGCCAGCTTAACTTTACAACTAGTGATTATTAAGCTGTTATATGTTTCTTTTAGCTTGGCCCATCCCCAGATAATATCTTATTTGCTGACCTGCAGATATTACATAATGTAGTTTGCGAAGCTTTTACGAAAAATTTTTCTAAAGGTATGATGTGTGCAGTAAATCGTAGAACTCCAGAAATGGATTCCTGTCAGGGAGATTCAGGAGGACCTCTTATATGCAATGAACTTTTATGTGGAGTCGTTTCTCACGGTATAGGGTGCGGTTGGGGATATCCTGGTATATACACAGATGTTGCTTACTATAGAACTTGGATAATTTCACACAGTGGAACCGGGCAATCTAATTATTTAAATAAATTCATAGTTATTGAACTCTTATTGTTCTTATTTTTATTATAAAATATTCGTTTTTTAAAGTATGCTAATGGGTATTCTTATTTCTTTGATGGGTATTTCAAGCTGATATAAAACACCGTTTTATGTGTATTATGATTGAGTGTTAATAAATTTTTTTTAAAAAATATCAGAAATATATTACAAAACACCTGTAGATACATTAGTAAGTTGTACCACATATATAGCATAAATCCTACATAATTAATATTTATCAATGTATATGGATGTTTAGATTTTGCCGTATTTTATTCAAAGAACATTTTTTTAATAAAGTTTAGTAAGTAAAAAATATATCTTATTTATTGATTTGTAATTAAATTTTGAAAGTTAAATTTCATTTTGTATGCGGATTTCTCTCGAGAAATTACTTGAGAATAATTTTGGTCAGCACGGAATTGCTTTTCTATTATCTACAAAACTGAATTTCGGATAGAAATAGTTCATTGTTTTGTATTGAGTTTGAATTGATTCAGATATCAGAAAATCCAGAAAAAATACAGAAAAAAAACATCAGCCATAAAATCAAATATAACCTGCCTACATTGGTTAAGTTCCAATTTTTAGTCTATTAAATCAATTTTAATTTGATGCCGTATAGATTAAATAACTGATTTTATTAAAAATTATTGACAATTTTGAGAAAATGTCATACATCAGTATACAAAATGTCATCAGTACTTTTTATGTTACGAACACTTATCACTCACCGATATCCTACAATCGATATCTAAAGTGAATTAATATGTTTTGATATATAATACAAGAAAGTAACTTAAGTCCTAGATTTGCATTTCGCCTTGAGTAATGTTTTTGACGTTTGCGAAAAGTAGTAAACTACAACAAAAAAAAATTTTTTTTTTTTATATTTTGAATGAATTGAATTTTTGGTTGGCATTACAGCTGTTCTGAGTATTGCCAAATATCCAGCATCAGTGGTCTTGGAAATATTTCTTGTATTTAATTATTCCTAAATAATGTTTTGAGACTACAAGTATCAATGACTCGTGCCCTGTCAAATTTGAGGCTCGGAGTCAGCTCTCCTTAACCAACTGACCCAAAGCTGTACTTGACTTTTATGTTCGTACATTTTTCTGGAGTTTTGTTGATTTGCTGTGAAAGTTTTCAATCTTGAAAATAAGAAAATTATATCAACAGCAATATATCTTATATGTATCTTATATTACACATACATTGGTGTAGTAGTCATATGTTTTGGTGTATTTTTGAAAAATTTTTTCAGTTTACTATTTTTCGAGTAACTTTAGAATTTCGTCAGTGTAGAACTTCTGTAGTTTATTGGTTAAAACATTGGTCAAGTGATTTTCAGTGGCTTTTTGGATGACCAATGTTTTACTCTTAAGAATGATCGGCGGAAGCTAAAACAAATGGTATTCAGTTGGTTCTAGACCCCAGTTATATGGTGAATACTTCACAATTTCTTAAACTTCTATCATCAAAGTTGTATATAGCCTAGAATTAATTGTTTTATTCAAACGATCGAATTTTGATCAGTACAATAGCAAATTAACTGTTGCATCAGGCTGGAACAGCGCGTAATAGACAATTCCCATCCAATTTGACCAAATGTCGAAGGCTGTTTGCCGTCAATCCAGGCTTTGAAATGGTTTGTGAAGGATCACTCTATTTTGAGAGTGATCGCATTCAATCCATAATGATTCTTTTCAAAAATGACTTGATTTTGTTGCGTTTCAGCAACATTTCACTGATAGTAATTCGGTGAACCATGTGCCTTTGCGCTATTTTATGAGACACCTAAACATCAAGAGCGTAGTCTGCTCTGATTCCAAACTATCATGTGGTTTATGTTTAGTACCTTCGCAATCTCCTGTATCCGTTTTGCTCGACAATTTGCAAAATTATATAGACTTTATATAAACTTTACAACGTGGATAATTAACCACATTATGTTCAGATGACTATTCTGTTTAAAATGTTACTGAGACAGTTTTGCCAGGACCGCGAAATGTATAATTCTTTAATTCCTTTAACTCAAAAACTTTTAAGTAGTAATATAAATTTCATTTGAAGTCATATATGACGTAGAAAACCAATTTTGAATAACAATTTTGACATCGCGTACCCGTAAAACATTTGTAATGCAGAGAGCAAATTAAGGTGAGAAAGAATAAACCAATTATGTTTAGTTTTAATAAACTGTATTTGATTGTAATATAAATTCATTTTATTTTTAACTTTAAAATATAACTCTTTATTTATATAACAATTGTATTTATATGTATCTATGAAACAGTTATCGAATGTAATTTTTAGAAAACAATTGCAATATTCTTTCCTAAATTAATGACTTACGAGCAAGGCCTTAATTAAGAGCTTCTCTTTGTGGTAGCCACAAACATCGATGCAAACTCAATTATATACTCGCACTTAACGGCTCTACGTGTTTGTCGTTTCAGTCCTAATGGCGTGTTTAAATACAAATAACAAATGTGACCTCTATTTCGCATTGTCACATTAACCATCCGCCAGAGTTAGTCACTTTCCTATTATAAATGTCGATGGAATTGTGCAATTCAAAGGTGACATTTGGCAAATATTGGGTTTGCGTACGTTTCATTGTTATGACTAAACAACAACACAATAATGACTGAACAGCAACTACAATAACAACCACAACAAGGAAAAAGGACTAAATTTATTATCGTTTTGCAGTGCTTGATTAAGTAATAATTTAGGCTTTCCTGTCAACGTGCTGACACTACACAACGAATACAAACCCACAAGCGCAAATAAGTGCGAAACATCCTCATCAACGTGGATATTGGATGGGAATGTGGATGAACAATTGCACACATGAACAAACCTATGGACAGATTCTTCAGCTGTGATTAGTGTCAATTGTATTTGTGCTTTTGTGGTCAATGTTGATGAGTGCGTTTATGTATCCAGAAGTGGTACAGTGTGGCAACTTTTTGCGTTCATCAAAGTGGCCAATAATTCCAATTAATTTATACGTTATGTGCTGCGAAGGACGAGAATCTACTTTGATTGCGGTCTTTGGATAGAAATTGTTTTATTAATGACTCTCGATGCTGATGGTTCGAAGATTGCAAACACTCAAAGTTTATATTATTTTTTTGTATTGTAAAATATTCATTATCTTCTATTGTGATTTATTTTATTAAAAAATATTGCGTTAAAAAGTAAAGAAAACTTTAAATTGAAACCCACTGCATCTTTTTTAACAGATTAGGTTTTTTAGTATTGGTTGCACTGCCAGTACTGTACGTATTGACTATCACGCAGTTAATAATAACTTCTGTGGGAAAATGACAGATCAGAATATTTTATTTTCTTCCTTTTGGGTGATGGTTTACTCTTCCTTTTGGTTTACTCAATAGTGCCTGCAACCACTTGGATGATCCACTGTAAGTGTTCCATTGAATTGTGATAATTATTTATTCAATTAACTTTGCAGAAGTATAGTTTGAAGCACAGCATATCTTTCAAAAGGAATATGTATTGCATATGTTTCAAGATTCTGAATTATGTGTTTCTGAATTAGTGTGATCATATACACAATTAATCAATTTCAGAACTCTTGTTTTGATGTGCTTTTGTACAAGGATGCTCTAGATTTTCAAGTCCTTATGTATCTATTCTTTTCTAATATACAATGGTTCTTTTGCCAGGCGTCTCAATATATTATTCTGACAGGTTTAAAGCTTTCTAATGGTGAATGCAACAGTATTGCCATAATATACTCACGGTTTCTTTGTATTAATGGTTGCAATTCAGAGTTATATTACGACCCAATTTTCTAACATTTATTTTTTCTAGTAAAATGTATATTCTGTAAAAAGTTAGATCTAGGTAGATGAAATGGAAGGAGAAACAAATTCTTCTCAACTAGCTAAGAAAGCCGTTTTAATTGCACCGTCCGCATGCAGTGATAAAAGCAAGACTGTAAATTGGCTAATACTAATGTTAGAAATATCGTCAAGTGTGTTAAAGAATGGGCCGCTCTGATTGAACCTGATTGCGACAATCCTGGATGTAGACATAACAGGTCATTTGGAGTTTTTTCTTGGAGCGCCGGTAAACATGTACTACAGAAAAAAGAGACTACAGGGCAGATCAAGCACTCATGTTCTGCTATATAAGAATGTCTGACAAACCAAACTAGAGTTACTTTAGAGGTGCTGCTTAGTAAGTTAATACATCACATCGTCTACATTCTTGAATTATTTCAGATGATATGCAGGCTGATTATGAAATAGCTTTAATAAGTACCTATCAGTAAGAGAACAAGCGCTTAAGATGGCGAAAGTTACATTAATCATGATTTTGTATACAAATGCCCTGTCACTAATTGAACTCAACAAACTTTAGCTCCGAGACCTGAGCTCTATTAGCATCATGGGCCCATCATCAAACATGTCTGTGGCTACAAGCCTATGCCTTCAGTATACTGCCGGTATTATTATTATTATTCACTGTTGAAACTTACATTTAAAAATCATTATTACAAATAAACATAGTGAATCCACTTATTAACTTCCTGAATGTATCAATATCATAGATATTTCGACCCCCCGTACTTCTACAAACGGATCCAAATTAGTTACTAAATTAAATAACCGGAAAACATCATGAATCGACCTAATTTGATACTCAGAAATTCTAAAGTAAAGTATACTATTAACATTAACTTAATAAAGAGTTAAGATACTGGACCTTATATTAATAAGAATGTTTCTAATATTAAAAAATTGGCATATATTTAACAGAAATCTTTAAAACAGCAACAACACAATTTTTACTTTATTATTTCATTCTGTTGGACTGCAAGTACCAAGCTTAGTACTTTAAGCCTGCCAAAATTGAAGCAAATGATTAGCGGCTTTATTAATCGCACGATTCCAAGCTGTCAGTGTATTTACATTAGTTTGTTTTGCAATTATACTTTTGAGTGCTCAGTGATGGACCAATTATTTATATCATCTGATAGCTTTCTGCAACTTTCTTCTGTTTCCAAAGAAAAATTACAAATACCAAAAATA